TGAACTGTGTGCAGTAGGGCTTTGGGTATCTCCAAGGAGGGAGACTCGACAACTACTCTGGGAGAACTGTTCCAGTGTTTAATCACCCATAAAGTAAAAGTTTCTTCTTACGTTTGAATGGAAATTCCTGTATTTCAGTTTGTCTCTGTGGCCTCTTGTCCTTTTCCTGGGCACCACTGAGAAGGGTCTGGCTCTATCTTCTTTACTTCCTCCATCAGGTATTGAGACACATTGATAAGGCACACCTGAGCCTTCTCTTGTCTGGGCTGAACAGTTCCAGCTCTCTCAGCTGTTTCTCTTATGACACATACTCCATTATCTTCATGGTCCTTTTTTGCACTCACTCCAGTATGTCCATGTCTCTCATACTGGGGAGCCCAGAACTGGACCCAGCACTCCGGATATGTCTCACCAGTGCTGAGTAGAGAGGAAGGATGACCTCCCTGGGCCTGCCGGTGATGCTCTTCCTAATGCAGACAAGGATACTGCTGGCCTCTTTTGTCACAAGGGCACATTGCTGGCTCATGTTTAACCTGTTGCCCACCAGGAACCCCAGGTCCTTCTCTGTAAAGCTGCTTCCCAGCTGGTAAGCCCCCAGCCTTTTCTGGTGCATAGGATTATTCCTCCCCAGGTGCAGGATTTGGCATTTCCCTGTGCTGAACTTCTTGAGGTTCCTGTGGGCCCTTTCTCCAGCCCAGGTCTCTCTGAATGGCAGCACAGTCCTATGGTGTTTCAGGCACTCCTCCCAGTTTTGTATCATCTACAGGCTTCCGGAGGGTACACTCTACCCTTCATCCAGTTCAGTAGTTAAGATGTTACACAATGTTGTCCCTAGTATTGACCCCTGTGGTAGACCACTATTGAGTGGCCTCCAGCTAGATCTCATGTCACTGATCACAACACCATGACCCCAGCAGTTCTGCCAGCTTTCAGTCCATCTCACTGTCCATTTATTTAGCCTGTACTTGATCAGCTTGTTTGTGAGAATATTATGAGAGTCTGCCAAAGACCTTACTGAAGGGAAGATAAACAACATCCAGAAGCAGATGAATGATAAGCGCCACTCATCCATGAAGCCAGTCACATCCTTGTAGAAGGCTAACAGGTTGGTCAGACATGATTCCCCCTTTGTAAATCCATGTTGACTATTCCCAATCACCTTCTTGTCCTTGAGATGTTTGGAAATGGTTTCCAAGATTATTTGCTCCATCACCTTCCCACCAGTGTGTAATTCCCTGGATTCTCTTTCTTGCCATTCTTGAAGATGTGAGTGACACTTGCTTTCTTCAAGTCCTCAGAAATCCTCCCTGAACACCATGACTTCAAAGATAACTGAGAGTGGCTTTGCATTGACGTCACTGAGCCTTCTCAGTACTCATGGGTGCATCCCACCAGGTCCCATGGACTTGTGTATCTCCAGTTTGTTTAAACATTCCCTAACCTGATCCTCCTCCAGCAAGGGTAGGTCTTTTTTGCCCCAGAATTTCCCAGTGGTCTCCGTTGAAGACCAAGGCAAAGAAGGCATTGAGTACCTCAGCCTTTACCCTATCTTTTGTCACCAGGTTGCCTGCCTTATTCAGTAGCGTGCCCATATTTTTCCTAATCTCTCTTTTGCTGCTAATACATCATTAGAAGCCTGTCTTGTTGCCCTTTGCAGCCCTCACTGGATTGAATTCCAGGTGAGCTTTGGCTTTCCTAACCGCATTGCTGCATGGTCATATAATTTCTCTATTTTCCTCCTTGGTGACTTGCCCCTGATTGCATTTCATGACTTCCTTTTTATGTCTGAGTTAGATCAGGAACTCCTTGTTCATCCATACAGGCCTCCTGCTGCCTTTGCTTGATTCCCTGCCAGTTGGGCTGAACTGTTGTTAAGTTTGGAGGAGGTGATCCCTGAATATCAACCAGCTCTCCTGGACCTCACTGCTTTCCAGGACTGTATCCCATAGGATCTTCCAAGCAGATCACTGAATAGGCTAAAGTCTTTTGTCTTGAAGTCCAGGGTTGGGATCCTGCTTTTTTCCCTGCTCCCTCCTCTCCAGATTCAGAACTTCACCATCTCATTATCAGGTACAAGGCTGCCCCTGACCTTCACATCCCTGGCCAATCCTTCCTTGTTTGTAAGCGTGAGGTCCAGCAGAGCTCCTCTCCTTGTCAGCTTCTTTATCACCCACGTTAGGAAGTTGTTGTTAATGCACTCCAGAACCCTCCTGGATTACTTATGCCCTGCTGTGTTGTTCCTCCAGCAGATACATTATGCCTCCCTCAGATATTGGGGTAAAGGCCTTTACTACTTTGAAGTAGTAAGTCGTTAAAGTACTTCATGAGCACCAGGGCCTGTGAGTGTGAGGCTTCTTCCAGTTGTCTAAAGAAGCCTCATCTACTTTTTCCTGATCAGGCAGTTTATAGCAGACACTCACCACAACATTGCCCATCTTGGTCTGGTCTCTAATGCTGACGTATAAGCTCTCAGTTGGCTCCTCGTCTGTCCTTAGGCAGAGCTCCATGCATTCTTGCTACTTTCTTTCATAAAGAGCAGCTCCCCTTTCTGCCATCCTACATGTCCTTCCTAAAAACCTGTATCCATCCATGGCAGCACTCCAGTCCTGTGAGCTATCTTACCCTGTCTCTGTGATCCCAGTGAGATCATTGCCTTGTGACTGCACACAAACCTTATACCGTCTGTTCTCCATGCTATGTGTGTTAATGTACAGATACTTCAAAGAGTTCTAAGCATCCCAGAAAAGGGATGAGAGCTTTCCTTGTGCTGTCCTATGGGTTCTTCCTTATTCACATGCATACACTTGAAGTGGGCCTCATTTAGCCCTGTTATATCAATTATGAGATTTGTCTTGTCCACACCACCCTTAACCTCACTTAACTTGTCTCATTGGTCCACTACTTCCTCACCTGATTGTTGTTCCTCATCCCTCTCCTCTGTTGCTCCTCATTTAAAGCTCTTGTCACCAGTTGACTAGACTGTAAGCAAAAATGCTTTTGCCCTAATTAGTCAGGTGGATCCATCTCATCTCTTCCAAAAAGTCCTTCATCATGAAAGATGCTCTCGTGGTTATAAAAGCCAAATTCCTGCTGCTGACACCAGATGCACAGCCAGTTCTTGATCTACTGGATCTATCCAGCCCTCCTAAAGCCATTTCTCCTCACCAGCAGGATTGAGAACACCACTTGGGCTCCATGCACTTGACCATAGCCCCTTTCCAGGATCTTCCAGGATCAGACTGAAACTTGTTATTGTTGTGAATATGATGGACAGCAGTTTTTCATGGATTTGCTTCTTATGGCAGAAAAACCTGTTTTTACTGCTCAGTCCCTTTCTCTCATTTCATCCTCATGCAACAGATGAAATCAGGGTTGGAGTACAATACTCTATGAAAGAAGGGCAGCACAGCCTGTGGCTGATACTATGCTTGCTGTGTTAGCAGAGAAACTACGATCCTGTTAGTCCTCCCAACCAGATCTGTTCCTGGAAGTCAGGGCTAAAGGCTAATGCTTTCCCAGGCCTATGGAAGAATGTTGTATTAGTTCAAGACATGGCATACTGTTTGTGTGGTATTTCCTTTTCCGTTAGAGAAAAAGAGCTACTGAAGCATTTTTTCTTACACTTGTGTAATATAAATAAATATTTTTGGATGCATGAAGCTAACCTTTCCCTAACCCTTGGGACTTGGTGTCCAAACTTTCCTGGGTTTGCCAGAGTAATCAGAAAGGCAAACAAGCTCTTGGGATGAGCTTTATTCATTGATCTGTCTGTTAATGCTCTGTTATTTTCTGCTGGTGGAATTTTGGGTCAGCAGATTTACACAGTGCACACTTCATTATCCAGCAAGCATAGACTGCTCAGAAGTCTTAAGAAGTGCAGATCTTTCTGCAGTTTCTGGGTTATTCCTGAATGGGTCATAAAGCTTTAAAGTGCAGTGGAAGTTAATCAGCACAGATTTCTGCTAACAACTTAAGTAGTCCTTTGCTTATAAGTTAGCATGGAAAGAGGGGATGTCAGATAGTGGGTTTCCATCTTCTCTCTTTGAAGTGGTCTGACTGACATATTGGGAAGGACTTGAGTGCTTTCGAAGGCACAGATCAGGACTAGCTAAGTGACAGAAAGCTGAAAAAGACTTTTTTTTTGCCAACATAAGTCATTCCCTCACTTTGCTTTGGCAGAGACATCTGATCACAGAGCACACTCTTCTGTTGTCAAATCCTCCCTAGGCAAATATGGTCTAGTCCTGGGACTGACTGAGGTATGCACCCTCTAGCCTTCAAAGTGGCCATTCATTAAGTTCAGAAACACACGTCTTCCATCCAGCCAAGGATATTTCATTGTGTTCTTCCTTTATATCAGCTTGTGGGAACTGTTACAAGCAAAATATGAAATATGAGCAGTGAATGCATCTTTTGCAATAAGCATATATAGCAAATAAGGCAAAAAAACCCAGTGCAAATTACTTTCCCTTTTTGCCTTCGTTTCTTCACTATTTTTTGTTTTGCTTTTGGGGTTCGAAGTATGTGTACTAAGTGGAATGCTTGAAGTATTAGCTATTTTACTTTGTTTTCATGATGGACATTGTTGAAATTCTTTAAAAAAGTCCCGTATCTTGAAGACAAATAGCAAAGTAACTGTTTGTGCTAGGTAAGACACTGTACCAGGAAAAACAGTGATGAGACCATTCTCATAGAGCAGTACTATTTGTCATCAAGCAAGGAATTGGTTAAGTGCCAGGGGTGATGTCTTAAAAGAGGTGACTGGTACAGAGAAAAATAAATGATACTCACGTAGCATAGTGGCAGAGTGAGGAAGGAAAATGTAACCCTGAGGAGAGCCATTCTGGACAGAAAGCCAATATGGGGGGGTATGTGAGCCACTTACCCAAGTGTCTGCAGTGGCTTCAGCTCCACAGAGCTGTAAGTATCTGGCATGGGGACATGGTGCCTTCACACTTTCTCCAGACTGACTACTTCTTTGACTATTTTTCTCTTTACAGGAACCCAGACCTTTGTATAACAAAAGGTGCCAGTTTTATTCAAGTGGAGTGGGATTCCTATATGATGCCTACCAGACAGAGGTAAACAAACTCACCTCATCACATGTTAATTTCTGGTGTGCTTTGAGGGGCTGGGGAGGAGGGAGGCACGTGTTTGACAGCATGTCTGTGCATGTAGGTCATGGGTTAATAGAAACCCTAATGTTTTTTCTTGCACAAGTGACTCCCCGCCTGTCTAAGCCTCTGATGATTGGAAATCATTACAACCAGTGAGGTTTTGAGTCATCATCAGTGTTTCTATCCAGTACATTACTCTGGGGCTGGAATGATTCCTAGTCCATCTATACTGTATAATAGCTGTCTGGAATGTATTTGTCACATTGGCATCTTTCTCTAAGGAGGTTTTTGTAGACTTCAAGTGGAATAGGAAATATCTAAATGAATCCATTTGCATTGTCCAGAAGACTTCAAATCTTCTCTGTATTTATCCAGCATAGGCCAAGAATGTCAGTGGTTTGAATGCAGCTTTTTTATTATCTCTATGACATTAACATGATCGGAAAAGTGCCCATACCCAAAGGCTAACCTCCTGAGAAGTCTAGATTTAGTTTCTTTTCCTATTTTTCATTTTATTATTGTGAAAAATTGGTGGGAGTGAAAAGAAAATCAAGCAGAGCAGGACTGAGAACAGCTAAACAGTGGTATAACTCAGAAGCAGCCAGATGTCTTTCATCACCATTCACCCCATGGCTAAGAAAACGTGTATGGGGAATGTTACTGCTTATAATTCTAGACAGCTTAGCAAAGTACATTACCAGGTTAAGTAGCTACTACTCTTTAAATCTTGCTTCTAGGACACCCCGTAGTTGATTCCAGAAAATGTATGACTAAAATATTTCATTGACCTCCTTGGCTAAAGACCTACCCAGACAAACTTATGATCTGTGACAACACCCTTTTCTGTAAGTTTTAATCCATCCTCTTCTAAAGTGTGCATGCACACTCAGACACCGACATGGCCTGAAAAATGCTTCTAGTTCCTGTAATAAGCGTGTAGCTGGCGTCACACTGACCACAACTCCCTGCAGGTGACCCCAGCCTTGGGCTTCTGGCCAGACAGGTTTCCCTAGCTCTGTAGATTCTGGGAATGTCTAAAGTTGGGCCACCCAGAGCTCCTTGCTCTATTCTGGCAAAACCCCCATCACTTTTAAAAGTGTAGTTAGTTGGTAAAAACATTCTGGTCTGGTTGTCCACTGATCTAGAGTCGGCATGTGCTAATTCAGAGTTAATGATCCATGCCATTTGAACTTGGCTTTTTCTTTTCCAGAGTTAGCCAGCTAGTGAGTAGGGGACATGCTCTGCATGCCAGGCTAACACCTAACTAGGAAGGCAGATTGTTTACTCAGTGCGAATTTCCTTTTGATTGCCTTCCCTAGCCTGTGAGTCGTCTCCCGCTCATGTAGCTTGCCTGTTTCAGTTCTTCTCTTTGCTCAAAGCAGAAAGAATATGATTTTCTTGCAATTACCATGAGGTGAGAACATTTCATCTGGACAGGCACAAACATCCAAAACATGAGAAAGCTAAATATCTGGTCACTGAAATGAAATAATAGGCCTTGACATGCAGAATACCCACAAATGGCCTGTTTCCACCACCTTTGCTCACACCACACAGTAATGTGGTTTTGATTTTTTTTCACTGTTCTGCTAAAAAGGAGTGTCTTGCACTTTGCAAATGTTAAAAATGCAGTGATAAAAATAGACAACTACAGTAACTCCCTTGGCCAATAATATCATACGTAGTGTAGCCTAGAAGCAGCTAAAAACATGTTTAATATCTTGCTTATCTCCCTCTTTTGTGCTTCTAGCCTTCTGCAGTAAAAAGAGGCAGACTGGCTTTATTCATGCTTGGAGAGGGGAAAACTACTTTTATTCCCTATCATCAGGAGTGGTCCCCAAAGTCATGCATCAGAACAAACCACCTTTTTAGCAGCCCACTTACCTTACGAAGCCCTCCCATCCCAATTATGCATGTTGAATGGGAAAAGGGTACTTTAACTATGCAGGTCCCAGGCCATTTTGACTGCATACAGGGGGTCAAAATCAAAGTCTTAAGTTCCACTCGGTGCAAAAGCGCTAGGGCGTCCCAACAAAATGACTGTGGTAGCAGATGCATTGGCACACTCTGTTCCAGGATGAGCTTTCAAACTGCTTCGAGAAGTAGCGAGATGTGATGTTTAAATCACTTCTGAGCTGAATCATGATTAAGCCGACACAGTCGTTGAAAGTAGCATGCTCCTCTTCTGCAGTAAATTGCTGCTCAGGCTGAGGACGGCCAACAAAGCCCTTATGTGAAATTCCAGTAAGTTCAGATACAACAGAACGAGGTTGATGAAACAAGGTCCTGCCTCAGGGTGAGATATTCTTGGGGGATGTGTCTGTATCAAGCTTTGAGCTCCACTTCCACATTGCAGCCTGAACTGAGACTGTACTTTTATAACCTAACTTCCATTTTGGGTTAGAAGAGCTGATTTGTATGAGACACTAACCACAGCAAAGCAAACCAACCCCAAGGCGCCATTTTAACTTCCTTTTAACTTTGGCTTTGTCACCCAACTTCCACTGCTCAAGCAAATCCTGCTAAGGACAAATGTGGCAAGTCTGAAACCAATTGCAAGATGAACTTTCTCTGGTGCTGAGTGTGTGTGTTTAAGGCTTTGCTTCTTCCTGGAAACAAACACGTGAGGAGTACAGATTCATCAACACTGGAAGTTTTCACACTAAAAAGGATGCACAGATCCAGGACTCAGGAGTTGAGAAACATCTGATTTAACATCTCCTGTGGAGATTATCCCACAGACGAACACATTCATGGCTAAGGAGAACTGTCTGACAGAAGCTTTTCAAAACCAGGCATGTATTCCTAAGCATGCTTCTTCTACTTTTTCATTATGAGGAATTTTCCATTCAATAATATATTTTATTTGAGTTTTGGAAACAAAAGACTTCTCAGTGGTTACGGTACATTTTTTTCCTATATCAAAATAAAAACTATAAAAAGAATGTATTTTCTGACCTGCTAGCTTTTAAAACCTGACAGTTCTCCAGGATTTCAAAGTCAATAAGCTAAAAATCTCAGGGAAAAAAAAAGCCTTACATATAAACTGTTTCAGTTGGTCTGTAGTGCCAAGTAGAAGTGATTAATGCTTACCACACTTAAATCATTAAAATGATTTCTTGTCTGGATGGAGAGTGGCTTACATGTGCCTACTTTTATTGTTCTAGTATCTGTCCATCCCTGCAATTCCTGCTCCCACAAATAAACCTTTTCAGTTTTCTACTCAAGAGCCTGCAGTAAATGGTACTTATTTGCTGGAGTGCTTGGATCTTTTCTGAGCAGTTTTGTTTGTGGGTCTGGAGATTGTTCTTCTTGTTGTCCCTAATTATTTCCTTCTTCAGGACGGTGTTACTGAAAGGAGAGAGCTCCAATTTATTGGAAGCTGTTCAGATAAATTGGCTTCTTTGCCCATTTCTCCACTATAATAGAGTGGTATTCTTACCCACTTCAGTAGCTTGCTGTGGTGTATCTCTCAAGACCCATTGTCCCTGCATCGTAGCCGTAGGGACCTGTATCTCACAGCTGCAGACTCTGGGTCTCAGCAAAATAGCACCAGGCAGTGCAGCAAAGTGCTTGAAAACTCTGGCAGCCCTGGCTGCAAGTCAATGCTGGCAGCTCTAGGCCCCATAGTGCAAATGCCCTGAGACTCAGGGGCTGGTGTCCTGACTGAAACTCCTGGGAGCTCAGGGATGTCCTTCTGCCCTGCAGTCATGGATTTTGGAATCTCAGGATCTTTCTGCACAACAGGTAATAAAACCTGACCCTGCAGTAGCTGCTTCTTTGTGGTCAGTAGGATGATTCACATGACAGAAATACTGAGAATGAAAGTCAGTCTCTGTTTTTTTGGCAGGTGACATGTTATACCTTAAACAGCAAGTGCCAGCTGAAAGTAAAGAGTAACACGTGCTATTGCTGTGACCTGTACAACTGTGAGAAGTAAGTGCTTGTGTGCAGTCAATGGCCTCCGAGAAATCCTTGGTTCTTTGTCCCTCCTCTTAAATGCTAGGGGGGGTGCCCTTAGGCCTGGAGAAGCAACACAAGGGGCTTGTATGCTGAGCAATCCAGTTCCTCTGTGACTGAACTCCTGGTGCCAGCAGAGAAGAGGTCAGGGGTTGCATAGTAGTGTTGGCATTATTTCAGTTTCTTTTTCTTTAAATATGTCCATAAACTGTTTACTGTGTGATCAAAATCGACCACTCAGTCATTGCCCTGTCGAGATTTATTGTTGATCTTGCAATGCAATTTTCCCATTAGATTTAATGAATCCTTTTTTTCTTCCAGACTGGGGGAAACAAAATGCATAGGAACATAGGTGCCCAGAGGTCATGTTGTAGGCATATGCAGAGCTCTTTTGTTAGCAACAGCCTCTGTAGGCATGGAGTTTTGCTAAATTGTCACAGGATACATACAGAAGGTGTTTTCTGAAGCCGGCCATTTGACTTCATCATTACCAAAGCATGAGATGTCAGAAGATAAGAGAGGAAAGGTCTGGATATGCTTACAAAGATCAGCTGAAGGTTAGCACAGGGCTGCCATGCAGCAATTTAACTGGAGTAAAAATGCTGGTTAGGAAAACTGCATCACAGCAAAGTCCAAGGGCTTATAATGTGGAAGACGGATGAAATGAACTCGCACAACTTCTCCTGTTTTGCCTTCTTTTCACATGCTAGTAACCCAGAACAACCCCAGTCCTCTGTAAGCATTGGCTAGTGTGCTGCCAGACATGAACATTTTAGAATGTGTAGGGGAATGAGGCTGGTACAATGAGGCTTATGCGTAAAAGAGTAGCTCTTGGCCAGATCCTGACTCAACTAGAGAAGCAAAATGAAATTTTGGATTAGAGGGAAGTCATCGATGAATGTGTATTTCTCATGCACACAAGAGACACAAAGTGAGTGCAGGTCTATGAACTGGATTAAAATCCCCTATGAATGTTAGCGTCTTTTGCTTGTGTAAGAAATGTTAATTCTGGACATGATGGAGGTATACAAAACAAATGAAGTGGGAAAGGTAGAGTATGCACAACTTTGGCCCCTTTTCTATGATAGACAAATGATGGAACATCATAGTTGCAATGCAGTATGTATACATTGAGAATGCTTTCTTCCATGGTACACAACTAACTGCTGCATGTTAACACTGAATCGAACAGCCCAACCCAATACAGAGCTGGGATCTTAAAAGGGTGAAAGCATCCAGAGTTATCAAATAAAGTGACCGAAACACTGTTGCTTAAAGTGTAAGGTAACAACAAGGAGAGAGCAGGAATACACCCCCTCCAAATGGAGATCCTCAGTGCCATTTTTCTAAGACATTTGTCTGAAACACCTGGGACTGATCACTGCTATGACAGTATTCAGTGATATAATTAAACATGTGTGTTCTGCCATTGTCAGCAATCCACAGGGGACAGCAAGATCTTATGGCACTGGCATGGACACATCCAGAGTGAAGAAGCAGTCTTGCTGCTCTACAGACTTGGCAGTTCCAGTTCACAGGACACCTAGAGAGAAGTAGGAGGAGACAGTGACACGAAGTGACCTGGTGTCAGCCGTGCAATAGCCTGGTATGCAGGCAGGATCACAAGTCAAATTTCCTCAGCCTCATGGCAGCTGAAGCTATAGGTTTATTTAGATAAGCAACGTCTTGTCTCGTGATAGGGCCCAACTGCCACTCAGCAGTGGCAGTGCCAGAACCGTGCCCCACAACAAATGATTGGACAGTTCCAGGAATTACTGTGCTTGGCTTGGTTCTTCCCAGAAATGTTGTGGGTTTCTCCATGGTGCTATCTTCCTCTGCAGAGCTTTCCTTAACCACCATCTTCACTGCTGCCCCATGCGCTGGGGACAGAGGAACAGAAGAGTGAGCACAAACTGCTCCCTTCTGACGGTAATTCCTAACAGTTCAAAAACAGACTTGGCATTTAAAAGATCTTTCCAACTCAAATAGCTGCTCTAGGAGCTCATTAGTGGTCTAGCATTAAGGCAGGTACTAGGAAGAACCACAGGAAACTGTGGTTTCAAATTTTGCAGTAGGATATTTCTGACTTTCGGCAAGACAATGAGGATTAACTTGACAACATGCCTGATTTACAATAGCCAGTGCAGTGTAGAAAATCTAACAAACAAAGATTTCTGAATAGTAAAATCCATAGTGTAAAGGCACATCTTTATACTGTATTGTGTGGCATTTGTTAATTTGGAACCGCAGACACCATAAACAAATGTAGCCAGCTGGCAAAATCTCCCTTCCTGTGGTTGAATTAATGCTTACGCAGCTTGCCTTCCCCAGTTTCAGAGATGCCAGCAGATTTCCAGGTGAGCAGGAAAAAAAAAGCAATGCTGGCATGCTTTAGCTGGTAGCTTAATGGCAAGGGCAGCATCCGTATGTCAGGACTATGCCTCTGTTCCCTCAGCAAAAAAAAAAAGAGTCCCTGCTGGTGCACAACACTGATCAGCCAAACTAGGCTTGGTACAAACTAGGCTTGGTATTAGTTAGACCACATGTTTAATGCTGGCATTAGCAGAGCCAATTTTTGTCTGCTGTAGAGCTTTCTCCAATTCATCTGAGCAATGTTTGATGGGAGCATGGATGAAGTACTTTGCCAAAGAGGGAAGTAAGCAGGAGGGATTTGATCTGCTGGTGCTCTCTATGATGCGTGTGAAACCATTCCCACTGCAGTGATGTTATCTGCATTCCCTTCCAGTTCAGAGCAGTCCTCCAGCTACTACGAGTTTCTCGGCGTGAGCAGCTGTCAGGACGTGGTTCACCTCTATAGGCTGCTGTGGTCCTCCACGGTCCTCAACATCATCGGGTTGTTTCTGGGGATTATTACGGCAGCCATTCTTGGGGCATTTAAAGACATGGTAAGGCTCACAGTCTTTTGCCTTCTTTGAGGACTTCAATGCTTGTTGGAGTTATCAAGTGGGTTAAAACCAAGGAAGCGTAAGTGTATGAAGGAGACACATGTTTCCTGTGTGATCTGGGAGTCTGGAGTCGTATCTTTAGGCTAATCTGTTGCCAGCTGCTCACAGCTAAGTAGGTCAAGCCTGGTCAAATACATGAATGGAAGGGGAGAAACCAGGCACCTGGGTGAACACATGCTGGCGATTCACTTAGCGGCATCTTTTTTTTTTTCTTCTAATTCAGCACTGAACACATGGGCCAGCACAAAGTTCGAGGTTGCTAGTTTGTAGCTTACATAAAACTCAAGTCCTAGATGTGACTATTTAAACTTACATAGTTATTTTCCCAAGAACGGGGATTAACTCTGAAGTACCAGTCAAGATTTTGTTTAAACAGTTGTATTCAGGTCACATTAACCTCCTCTTTTGTGTCACTAAGGAATGCCCCCCTCTGACTGCTCCCTGTGCCACACCACCATGTTGTCCTGATGTGCACCACTGCATTCAGAAGAGGCTGTGTGCTAGGAGGGATTCTGTAATACAGTGTATCATCTGCCTAGATTTTCTGACATGTTAAAAAGGTGAAGTAGCTGTTCCTGGGATTATCACCGTCAGTGGTCCTGTTTGCTAAAGTAGTGCCTAAAGACCAACCAAGTGGCTGAATGATTTACTAGGCACTCAAGAAGAGCAGATGGTCCCAGACCAATAAGCTTACAAACTAAACAGACAGAGGTGTGGGGATGGAGGTGAAATGCAAGAGCCAAAGGGAGGTCTGGTAGCAGCACAGGTCATCTTAAATCCATGATGTTTCTGGTGACTATTGCAGAGGAGAAAACTAAATAGAAAGACAGGTGAAATGAAAGAAGAGAGGGATGGAGCAGGGAAGAGAAAGCAAGAGAGAGGTGAGTTGTACACCAGGGGGAGGGGGGGGGGCAGACTAGAGGGAAGGGGCTGCTCAGAGCTGGCATCCAGTAAGCCAAGGACCCAGTCAGACTGGAGGCCATCCAGGCCCTTCTCTGACCACCCAGCGTCCCTTAGCAAGCATGTCCAGGCTATCTACAACATGTTGGGTGCTTAAAACCATGTGACAGAGCAAGGCCATATGAATTACTTGAATTTCACCTTTGTTAAGAGTTGCAAAATGTTTGCTGGAAATATTCCTCTCTCTATCTTAAGGCAAACAAGCACACTGAGCCTTCACATGTGAGAAATGTGCAGCTGAGCTGTGCATTATGTGAGGGGGCTTTTGCAAGGAGTTGATAACAAATTGCAGCCAGCCAGAGTTGTGGATGCCCAATGGGAAGGAGGGAAAGCAGCTTTCCCAGGTTAATTCATCCCCTCCCTGTGAGAGGAGCAATGGCAGAAGGGAACCAGAAACAACTACAGTGGGAAACAAGGGGAAGAGCAGCTACATGGGGAGGGGAGGGTGGGCATTGTCTACAGTAAGTCTTTGGTAGAGCATTGCAGTTTTCCAGTGCTGCTGAGTATTTTCCCCTGCCTAGCAAGTGCCTCCACCAAGGGCAGCTGTGGGAGCGGCTCTTGCTCCCCTGAGATGGGGAAGAGGGCAGAGAACCAGCCTGAGTCCACCTAATCTATCTCACACAAACTGAGGCTTATGTGGGATTTGGGCTGATGCTTTGTAGCAGGGTGGGCTCCAGCCCAGGCAACACCTCTGTGCTGCGTGGGGGCCATCGCTGCACTGCTTGTGAGCGATGCCAAACCAAGGAGACGTTCCTGGGACAACTAGGGTCTCCATGACCTGGCATGTTCGCTTGCTGGGAGGCAGAGCCTGGGTCAAGGTCCGAGTCCTCTGACTGGGCGGCATAAAGTGCTGCTTCCCCCCGGCCCAGGCTCGGTTTGAGTGAGTCTGTCAGAGCTCCAGCTAAAAACCTGATCTGATTAAGCTGTTTCATGTCTCCTCTACAGTGGGAGTGGAAAAAACCCCCTCGCTACCTTAAGGGAAAGATGGGGTTGTGTCAGTGACCCCAGCAAGCCACGCTATGCTTGTGAAAGTGTTACTAAAGCAGCAATCCAAAATGCAACAACTGCTCCTTGCTCCTGCCTGTGCTTTTTCAGGGTCCTTTCGAGTAGGGTACCAGAGCTGGTTTGCTAATTTGCTTTTGTTACAAAAGGAGTAACTCCTGGGGGAAGACAGGGGCCAAGAAAACATCAAGCAGAAGAAGGAGAGAAAGGGGCATGGGACTGAAATAAGAAAAAAAATTTCCGAATGTGTGGGAGAACAATTTTCCTTCTTTCAGGATGTCACCTTCCCACAGAAATGCTCACTGGCATTTTGCAGGGAGAGCCGCAAAGCCCGCTGAAACGCCTCAGGGCATTGCTCCGAGGTTGACTTCCAGAAAACACAGGGCCAGGCTGACTAGTCAAACAAAAAACATCATGTTTATCTCCGGGGAACGCTGGCAGCCAGAACATGTTACAAAGGGGAGAGTTTGCAACACAGTGCCATTGCCTCTAAACCCATCACATTTCCTGGACAGAAAAAAAAAGAAGTGTTGTTTTGGTTGTTGCGGGTTTTCTTTCTTGTGACAAATTCCCTGTAGACCCTGGCACGCTCCCTGTGGTTTTGCTACCAGGCTGTGCTGGTTCAGTGAGAAACATTTCATTCCCTCCTGACCCCCAAGGTGTCAGCTCTCAGTGTCCCCTGTGTCACCCGTGGGGCTGTCCTCTGTGATCTGCTGGGTGTTGGGGGAGCTGCAGTGGTTACAACAGTACCCTCCTTTTCAGATATAGGATGCCAGCTAGGCAATTACCTTAAAGTCACCATTAGCAAAAAGCAGGTTAAAATACAATGTAAATAGAAGTATGTACTTGAAGTATCCAAAATAGTAAAACACTGTGATTATTTCTTATGGAAGACAGAGGTAAAAAAATGCACAGAAAACTTCACTTGCTGGTACTAAGAGTTAATCTAGAAACACCCTTCCCTGCCCTGCTATTCATCTGATGACTTGTAGATGTTTTCCTGACACACCTTGCCAAGGAATCTGCCTGCCCTGAGTTTAGGTTTGCATTAATCGGAACTACTGATGGTCCTGTGGGGGATGCTGGCTTTTTTTTTCACTAAGTCTCCTTCATGGAGTCCTCAAAGGAATTTGAACAGATTAAATATCATTCCCTTTTCCCCTCTCCTTTTCCCTCACCCTGCTCTAAAAAGGAAAAAAAAAAATGAACCTGTAATTACTGATCTACTCGCCACGTGTTCATGTCTTAGCACTCGTGCAACTAAAGGTGCAGTCTGACGTCAGAAGTAGCCATAGCTCAGAAATAAACACTTTGGCAGGTCTGCAGACCAGCGAGCTGACCTGCCTCGCTCTGCGGCCGCACAGCCCAACACACAGCCAGCAGCAGCTTTCGTGGCCTGGTGCGGGGCGGCCAGACGGCCCCTCCAGCCACTGCCGTTTCCCCAGGCTCCCTGACCCGAGGTGCCCGCACGGCACTGGCAGCGCTCCCTGGCTGGTTGACAGCTCCTTATCTCTTTGACTTGGGTGGTGTTTCAGTTTAAAAGTGTCTCCACCTACCCTTGTATTTTATGTGACTAATTTAACATAGTGTCATTACTGGAATACTTGATAAAAGCATCTAATCAGCTTCAATACCTGCAAATTGCTCCAGGCTGAGACCAGATAGCCTGATGATAAGGTGCTTTGATCAGTGTTTGGGGTGGATGACTCCCCAAAACTGTCTTCTAGGACTGTTGTGGTATTCATCCTTATCAATTGGAGAGCATTTCTGCTACGGATGGAGAGAACATACGAGGACTGAGAGAGGTTCCTGGGAGAAGGACAGCAGCACCCAAAGGGACCCGCACCAGAAAGCTGGTGACAGATGCAGAACAGGCATGTGTTTCCTCCTGGGCAAAACCAAGTGTTACTTACCACATTTGCGTCCGTAGCCAGAAGGATCTGGTTGTGCCAGGGCCTTCCTCGTCCAAGGAAGGGCACGCTCTGGGAGTGAGTCCAGCCCTGGACAGGGTGGGCCATGTCGCTGGCCCCAGACCTTTGGGCCTGAGGCAAGCTCCTTAGCTGCTTCTCGTTAATCCTGTCTGAAAGGCAGGGTCTCTCCGTTTCTCCCCACCCAGCAGAACAGGTAGAAAGATGGTGTTTTGAGGAGGGTGCCTTGAAGATGAGAGATATGCCTTCTCCCATGAAATAGGCTCTCTGCTTTCAACCCCAGCCTTTCTCCGTGCCAGCTCCTGGGGTGCTGAGTTTCTCCAGAGAACTAAGGCCTAGGTTGTCAGGTAACCTCACGTGGTACATCACTGACCTAGACAATGTTTTGATGTACAAACACAATTAATATACTGCTTTCTCAGTCACACAGAGATCTCACACTGTCTCCAGAGGATGCAGTGGTTTATGTCTCTCACTGATAAATCTGCAAGGAAATGCCAAAAGAAAATTCCTGGCTGCTGCTTTCAGCATTTGTCTGGCAACCACCATATATTATTATTTCAGTAAAAAGAAAATTCCATGCTCTCATGTAGAGGAATCTGCTAATAAAAACAAAGGAGAGAAAAGAAACCACTGGATTTGTCTGTCTTTTTGCAAAGCAGGGAGACATGAAAATCTTTCACAGAGCTCTACTGTCCTTCACAAATGGTCATACAGCACAGGGGTTTAGGGTTTAACACAAACCACCTTTCACATTTAGCTTTTGCTCTTTTTTTTTTTTTTTTTTTATTCCCCAGCTGTATTAGCTGGTTTAATATGAGCTATTACTTCTTCCTGCAAACCTCATCTCACATTGCAGTTAAGGGACATGCCAATAAAGCCACGGGATATGATGAAAGATTTTATGCAGTAGGAATGAGATACGCACGTGGGGGGCGGTATTGGATGGCCAGCAGCAAATCCATTTCAATCCAAGGGAGAGGGAGCTGTGAAAGAAGAGCAAGTGGTCTGGAAAGGGAGATCTCTGTAGGAAATCATGAGAGAAAAGACATGAGGGCATCAGGTAGCTGCTTTTGGAAAGAGTCTGCAGCAAACTGTGAAGGACTGGGCGTTTGGTGCTGGAGTGAATAAGAAGAGGCGGTCAGAGCTGTATGTGTCTCGGGTCTGCAGTCCTGCCAGTGCTTCCGTAACTGCTGCTAGGGAAGCACCAGCAGTTTTTTTCCAAGGGAAGAAGATTAAAATAGCTGTGTATTTCTGGTCAGAAAATTGACTCCAGATACACCCTCCTCTTATTCTGTCTGCTTGGGGTTTTTTTTGTAGTACCAGTGTTGGAAAGTTAAAAAAAAAAGTTGCTAAATTGCCTAGTTGCTTGTAGTACCAGTGTTGGAAAATTAAAAAAAAAGTTGCTAAATTGCCTAGTTGCTTGTGTTAGGACCGTTTCCTGCTCCAGTCCCCTCTGCGCTATGCTGATATATTGTTGTCTTCTGTGCTCAACAGGTACCTCTGTCCCAAATTGCTTTCAGTGCTGCACCTCCTCCTCAGATCCTGTATAATCCTGCCCAGCAGATCCTGACATACACTGGGTTCTGTCCTTCTGCAGCATCTATTTCTACATATCCATCCTACCCGTTACCTCTCCAGGTACAGTACAAAATGGCACCCTTCCTACTCCGTCAGAAAAGCCTAAGCTGCTATTCAGTACAAACTCTGCAGTGGTAGATCTTGGCTGCTGGGTGTTTGAAACAAGGCAAGGAAGTTGGATCCCAACTGACAGACTTGTCTCTGGGATGACTTAAGTCTGTGCCCAGTACTCATGTCCATTCTGAGATCTCAGGCTTTCTCTGGTTGTCCTTTGGACTCTGTCTGCTGACCAGGAATTCCAATGTGGGATTAGAGCTGCACTACTGTAGTCATGAAGGCGAACACAGCCCTGTGTAGGGCAAGATAAAGCAGCAGAGGCATGAGGGGAAGTCAAAGGAAGCATCTGATACACACAGGATTTGGCAGAAAAGTTTACACACCTTAGCCCACCTTACTCTTAAGCAGGTAAGTAGATTAGGACTCATCAGATCGAAAGGAGACAAGAAAGGGGAGGAAATAAGAGGTCTGTGAAATCGAGTGATATGCAAAGGATTGTGGCTGGATATTTGTGATATCTTCCTATCACACAAAGTTTTGATTGCCCCAGTAAAGCTATCAGGTGGCAAGATAAGTCATAGGAAGTGTTTTTACACACCAGAGAAGGTTCAGATGCCACAGGATGTTGTAGAAGAGTGTAAATGAGGGGTTAGGGGATTAGTCCATCAGTTGCTGTTAAACACAGGGATTCAGGTGTCACCACAAGTCCCCAGGTGGCTCCTGCCACAAGAACCAACGGGTGCTCAGCAGAAAATGGAGCCCTTTTTCTTTTAGTCTTCCTGTAAGCATCGGCTACAGGCAACTGCTGGAAGATGACAGGTACAGAGCTGCTGTGGCAGCTGGCAGAGGCTGGTGAGCCTTGCTGACCAGAGGCAGCTGGCCTAAAGGCAGGAGGGAAAGCTGCCAGAGATGCAGCTTTCTCCCCTTGCCGGAGAGGATGCAACGTGAGCTTAGTCAACACCGCTTCGCCTCCTTCAGAAGGATGAGGTGCAAGTCGTGCTCCAAGCCTGCGCTGCATCCAGCCCAGAGTTGGCCAGGAGAATGCAGGGAGTGGTGCTGAGGATGGTGTTTGGTTTCTTTTTTGCCCCAGAGTGAGGTGAAGAACGTAGGGTGAGCTGGTAAATAACTGAATGTACTGAGACCCTGGAGCAATCATAGGAGTTTTCAGATTTTTTTTTTTTAAAGCACAGTAAGGCTGTTTTGTTCAGTCTAATGGCTTGTTATACTTTGGCTGTGTAGCGCTAGACCAGTGGGTACCACAAGTTTTGCAATGCTTCTTAACTGAAAACACTGCACGTTTAGCATGAAGTAGCTGTGGACGAGCTCCTGGGCTACATCTGTTCAGGGCCAATAAGCTACTGGGCACAAGTACTGGGACATGATGATTATCCAGACCAGTGAATTGTTAGCGTGCCCCTGGTATGAGTTTGGCCCAGACCACCTAACAGTCTCCTAGCAATGCCCAGGAAGGGGTCAGGAGACGCCAGGGGCAATGAACCATCCCTGGTAGGTATTGTGTATACAGTCACATGGGTTTTGCGGTAAGAGTTCAGCTGTAGCGGTGTGATATGTGCTGTGCCAGTTGCCTTCACAGCCAGAGAACAGTCCTTGGCATGTCTTACTTATTAACATAAATAGGGCGAGGCAATTTTGGAACCCATGGGTTGAGAGGGAAAAAAGAGCACACTTGGAGATCTCTTTTTGTTTGCTTTTAGCTGAAAAGCTGTGCTGTTCTGCAGAGTTCAGTTAGCACATAGCCAAGAGTAGAGAGAGAAGGGGATGAAAACAGATGGAAGAAAGCAATTAAGCTGAAAAGATACATGTAAGTAGTCATGAGGGTCAGTTGTAACCGTTCAGTCCTGTTTCCACTGAGAAATAGAAATACATCATATTTACCCCAAATTCTTAACTGCATTCCAAAATAAACACAGTTATTTTCCTAGACTTCTACATTTTCTAAGAATTGTGTCCATTTGTCTTCTCTCCCCTTCACAACACTGAGAGGCAGATACCACCAGCTGTCCCCAAGCCAGGAGAGGTTAGTGAGAAGCATTTGGCTCCAAAACTGAACGTGCTTAATCCTTTTCCTG